AAACATATGTAGAAGGTAGTGCCCATTTTATTGGGAGATCAAGAAATTAGCTGTGACAATTTGTGGATACATATCAAGACGTAGAGCCTGTGTAGAAAATGAGATGATTTTAAAATGGCCCAGTGAACAAAAAGATTGTTTTAAAAAGCCTGATATTAGAGCAGAATGAAACTGACAAAAAATGATTTTGTGACATTCAGTTGGCCATTTTTGTTTCTGTTTAATCCTTATGTAGCCTGACTACTACCTTTTTCTTTTTGTAAAATGTTATTAAATGATCACTTTTGTATCCAAATCCTGTGCATATTTTTAAATGAAATTTCAAATTTTTGCATTGTTTGTTATTAAACAAAACAAAACAAAACTTGTACGTTCTACTGCTTTATTTTTTCCAGTAAAAAGCCCCATACAATCCCTGAAATTTTGGAACACAATGCAAACTACTTTGGCTTTATGTCTTGCGGAATCAGATTAAATTTTTTCTGGCTCTGTCCAGTACTCATATTAAGAAATAATTGAGTACCTCAATGTTTAAACAGGGTGATGAAGAGTTAATATAAGCTGTGATCTTGGAGAGACATAAGCACAAAGTTGGTGGGATCCTAGCTGCATATGATCTGTCCTGATGATAAAAAAGAGTGGGCAAGCAGATAGGATGTAGGTAGGATGTAGATAGCTGATCACCATAAACTAGACTAGTAAGACTGATACATTTCTTGTCCACTAGGGTGATCAAAGATCTGGCCAGCATGCTAAATCTGGTCCTCAGAGCCCTATGATTTGACCTGTGGTGCTGCCTGTGGGTCTCAGACTTGCTCTGAGAACCAAATGAAGTATGTGACCTGGAGTTTTCCTGTGCAATACATGTAACCCGTGCACTGGTTCCCAGAGTTGACCCAAGCAGGGTGCGGGGCCCGGGGCAAATCAGCCCTTGAGAGGCCCTGCCCCGATCCCATGCGCCCTGGATCTGAAAAAGCTGCCGCAGCCAGCAGCACTGTTGGTGCCCGGTGGGGGCAGGGTAGCCAGCGGCTGGATGCTGCTGCTGTACCCGGCTCCATGGGGACCTCCAAAGCACGGGGCCCAGGGCGGTCACCACGATTCTCCCTTCTAGGGATGGCCCTGCTGACTCCACTGCACTGTGCACTGCATGGAGCTTGCACCGGACTGGCTGCACTCACTGTGTGCAGAGCATAGGCCATTCACTGCATGCACTGTATGGGACTCATCCAAGGCATGCAGCATGCAGAGCTGGTCTGGGGCACATGCTGCATACAGCACCCATACTGGGCCAATGTGCTGGATGATTTTGGTATCCCTGATGTAGACCCTAACAGCTTTGCGAGTTGCAGGGATTAAATCTTGGGTTCATTTAAGTCCATGGGAATTTTGTCATTGTCTTGAGTAGGGCCAGAGTTTTTCCGTAAGTTAGCAGTTACTGAAAAAGGCTAGCATTTCCTACTGCCCTAGAATACATTCAAATCAGTGATGGTGAGGTGAAGAAACTCCTTAACACATAGCCCAATCTTATGAGTATCCTGGTTTCTGAAATTTCACTGACAGATATAAATAACCATTCAGAATTTCACATGATTATCTACTGTATTTCCATTTATATTGCAGCTCTATATATTATATTTTAGTGCACTGTCCCCCAAAAAGAAAGATGTACATATTTTTAAAGAGAGATAAGCAGTTTAAAGGAGACAACGGTGTAATTTTGTATTCTATATGTGATCTGTTTTGTAAATAAATTTGCATAAAAATATCTAGCCCTAGATGTCAAAGTTCTATTTTATCTTTAATTCAGATGCTCGAGAAATATAAATTATTTTTACAGCTAAATAAAAGCTATACAAAGCTGCCAGGAAAGAATAATGAGACACACGTTGTGCCATGCAGCCATGATAAATCCAGCAGCACCATGGTTACAGTCAAAATGTAAGGCCACCAGCAACTAGGGAATATCAGAGCATATAGATTTCTTTGACTAGCTTTAGCAAACTAATCTTAACTGGGGAAGCATGTCACATATGACATTAGGTCAGCAACAGAAAATATTTACCTACAAGATAGACAGGCACCTAATATAAGAAGGAACTGTGAGTGTTTATAGTGAGTTTTTATCATGGAATAAAAGCATCAGTGTTTGTTGGGCCATACTTTGCCTGAGTGTGCATGTTTTATAGAAATAGGGAGATCAGCATTCTTGTAGCATGCTATGGTTTACAATTGCTGCTGATGGGAATACTAATGTTAGGATACACAGCTTACAGAATATGAAGTGATCTTGGGGATGGCATCAATGACATGCTTTAATTTAATTTTCTCTACTTTTGGGGCCTCCGTCTAACTTTAGAGGCAAACTGTGGAGTGAAAAGGTTCAGTTGTATCCCCTGTAGTTCTTATGGTGGAAAGTTCATTTTTACATTAAAAAATACATACATAATTAAAGTGAAACCTATTTGTATTGTGTCCTGCCTTCCCATACATATAGATCAATTCAAAGTAACTCCATTAACTTCAGTGGAATTCTGGATTGACACTTGCATAACAGATTAATATTTGGCCCTCCCTGTAAATTATCACTAGAAATGGTCATTAAAGTCAAAAGATGAATAGATTATTATGAGGAAAGAGGGCTTAAGTAACTTCAGCTGACACATTATTAAAAGAGAAATATTAGTGTCCAAAGAAAAGTGTATTGGACAGAGCAGGAAGAAAACTCACTGAGTGGAAAGTTTAAAGAGCTAATTACAAGGATATAAGCAAAAGCAAAATTTGACCTGAGACTTATTTCATTTCCATGATTCAATGTAATTGCAGCAAATACACAGATAGAACTGCACATTCACTGAGCTATACTCTAATTACATTTTCCTAAGTACAGCTCCCTCTCTGATGTGACATTCTTTAGTTGATGCAAGTATCCTAAGATGCCTAGTTCATACAAAGTCCATACAATAAAATAAAGCCTAGATGTACAACAACACTGAGTTTTTATGGTTCCTTGCTCATCCTGCCCTGGTGTTGCAATGCTGCCTTAATTACTCATAAATTCAGCATTCAGGTTAAGCAGTTTGAGAAATGTGGAACCCGTGGAACTCTGCAAATTAAAGAGGCTTTGCCACAGGAATACAACAGCAGCAGCTAAAAGGACTGATTAATCAGTGCAATCACAATGCCTCTGGAGCTGCATCTACACAAGCAGCTCACTGTAGTGTCATTTAGCAAGTACTAGATGACTGTGCAGTAACCAGTGATACTGTGCAGTCCCATTGCCACACAGTTATTTTTAGCTGCTACTGTGCAGTAGCATCAGCATCACAGTTTGTGCCCAGCGATGCTACATCATTGTAGTAATGAGCTACACTACAGTAGCTCATTGCTACAGTAAAGTAGGATCTCATGTAGACATGCCCTGGGAGTGGGAAACTTACATGGGATGTTTGGAAGGAAGTGGTCACACAGCATGTCTATCTCTCAGTAGCTTTGGGGCTGTGTGATGTCTTTGAAGCTATAGAAACATATATGCAGTTCCTTGCTATTTTTGCTTCCTTTAGTCTTTTAGACTAAGTACAGACAGCCAAAAAACCTGAGGCTGAATCAATTCAATCTTCACAGGTTAGTTTAAGTTGCATACATTGAACTGATAAGCAAATGAATAGACATTAACTTTTGATTTGGAAATGCAGCCACATGCCTGCAGTGGCCCAGACCAGAAGCCAGGGAGCACAAGAGCACACCTCCCTGCTGGGCTGGAGCAGACAGCTTGAGTGAAGGCTTGCCCGCTCACTATGCAAGGGGGTGGGGGTGAGGGTGGGACTTCGGGAGAGGTAGAAAGCATGTTGGGATGCTGGGGGACTGAGAGTTAACTGGAATCTGAAGGGGGTCTGGAACAGAAATTCAATAAATCAATTTAACCTAAGTCAGTTAAGTCTGATACTGTGCCCATCAAAGCTTATCTTAAATCAGTTTGGGCCATTTTGAAAGTGGTTTATGTGCACTGAACTTCTATTGTGTTACAGATTTGAACTGGTTGAACCACTTATATCGGCTTATGTGTAATTTCTGTCCCTAGCCTTAATATTGCTGGTCACTCTAATGTGATCAACAACTGGTCTGCATTCTTCCTATGGCTTTCTGACTCCTTAAGCATTAACACTCCTTTGAAATCAATAATAATACCTGAATTCACTAGTCTCTTAGTGCCTTGTTACATGTTACTCTGCGAGCCTCACAAATGTTGATTGGTGTTAGTGCTAACTTGAGTTTGGAGTAGTCACAGGTTCAGGCCAATAAGGGCCTGGAGGACCGAAAGGTAAGAAATCCACCCCCTTCCATTCTGGGCTTCCCTTATGCCCCCCGGCCCCCCCTCTGGCCCTCAGGGTCCCCCTCCCCCCGCTTACTTGTGGCTGCCAGCACTGTCTGTCCTGGGGCAGGGAGAATTAACCTGCTCACCAAGCCACTGTTGCTGCTGTTCTTCTCTGGCTGAACCTGGCCCAGAGAGCAGCAGGAGCTCCTGGACAGGCAGGTTAACCCTTCCCTGCCTGCTCCCCTGGGCAGCCACAAGTAAGGGAGAGGGAGCAGGGGAAAGTGAGTGGGGATCTGGGATGCTGGGGGGGGGAGGGGCAGCAGGTGAAGGGGGCTGAATACAGGCCGGCAGGGAAGGCAGGGAAGGGGAAGTGGTGACACCACCATGTCAGCTTGAGTGGCTATGTTATGAAGTGCTCACACCACCATGTCAGCTTGAGTGGCTATGTTAGTGTACATGAACTGGGTAAAGTGGATCAGAGAGAAACCTGCCTTGGAGTAGTGTAACTTTAAACTGCCTAAATGGTGCTTACTAAAGTTTGTAGTTTCAGGTATTAGTGTGGACAATCCAGGCATTAAGAGCTCCAGGAGCAGCCTAAAGTTAACATCTAACAAGGTCCTAAGGTTCTGGACGATAGCTCTCACATGGGTTAATGCTAATGCTACCCACCTTCTCTGCTTGCTTTCAGGCACTTACTTTATTGATGGATAATGATGGTGTGTACAACAGAGGGACACTAATCATGAAGAAGAGGAGGAGGAGGAAGAAAGAATTGTTTTCATGTACAAAAGGTAAGACTACCTTGTTGTTTTTGCTGTGGAGGCACTCAAAGGCTCTCTATGGAGACTGGGGTTCCATTGTTCTAGATACTGTGAAAGTACATATGACAACACAACACCTGTCCTCAAGAGTTCATCTGTATTCACATTCACACAGGTGATAAAAAGATAATTGGAAAAATATTCTCTACATACTTTTCTCACCACGCTCCGAGGAAGGGCTTTTGAATGCCTTGTATTTGCTGTCTTCTTTTTTTACCCAGTCCCAGCTTTTAAAACTTTAATTAAGTAGGGACAAATATTGTTCAAACAATATTAAGGTTACATTAACAGTCAAATTCTACTATAACATACTTAGAGAAGCATTATGGCAGTGTGCTGAAACTTCAGAAGGTTCCAAGGCACTTTGACCCGCATTAACTTCTAGTATTTAGGTCAGGGATTATGGATGCTGCTTGTGACCTAGCCCCTAGTGTGGGCCTCCTCTCCCTTACACCTCTCCCCTGGCAATCCATAGAGACTGTAAAGCAGCGGTTGGCAATCCCTGGTATGCATGCCAGGGCATGGCACAGGAGGCTATTATACTTGGCACATTATATCTGGCCTGGACTGTGGGCAGATGTTGCTGGCTATGGAGCCTGGGCTGCTCACAGCAGGCAATGGAGAGGCTGCAAGCCCTGCTGCAAGAAACTCAGGCTCTGTGGTGGGCAGCAGCTGCCCAGAGCCTGGGCTGGATGTGGCATGCAGCCGGGAGGTCCATGACTGGTGCACCGGGGTCCAGAGCCCTGGCCTGGCTCTGTGGTGGCAGCAGCTGAACATGCACCTCAGGGCAGACAGTGGGAAATGGGTGGGGGGCAGCACAGCTAGCACTCCCCACTCTTCTTCCTTCATCCTTCCCTGTGCTCCATCAGCAGCAGCTCTGGCTCCCAGGAGTCTCCACCCCTCCCTATCCCTCCCTCCCCCATCAGCTTGTTGCTGGTGGTGGCTGCATGCAGGCCTCCTGGAAGACACTGGGGAAGACATCAGGCCTGTGCTGCCTTAATGAGGATTGGACCCTTTGCAGCTCCCCTGCCATCCACCCCTGGCATGCCAACATCTTCCAAGTTGAGGTTGCATGGTTTTTGGCACTCAACCCAAAAACATTGCAGATCCCTGATGTGAGCCCTGGGCCCCCCAGGGCTCCCCAAGAGAACCCCAGGACACGTGAGGAGCCCCAGCCTACCCAGAGGTAATCAAGGGCCCATGGTGGGAGGGATGTAGCCCAGCTACAGGGAGGCAGCTGAGAGGAACCAAGGAAGGTCATGCCCGCGCCCCCCCCCAGGCTCTTACTTCACCCAGGCCCCCAGGGAGCCACGCGACTAGAGCTGTGTGAATAGGATGCACAAACAGGTGCACTTCTGGGCCCAGTGTGTGAGTTAGTGCTGGCTGATGACAACATCCTGAGGGACAGCCAGCACGGGTTTGTTATGGGTAGGTCTTGCCTGACCAATCTCATCGCCTTCTATGACCAGGTGACATATCACCTGGACAAGGGAGAAGAGATTGACATCATATATCTGGACTTTAAAAAAGCCTTTCATCTGGTGTCCCACGATCTCCTCTTGGAAAAATTGGCCAACTGTGTCCTCAGCTACATCACAGTCTGATGGCTGGGGAATTAGCTCCAAGGCTGGATTCAGAGCGTGGTGGTTGATGGAAGTGAATCATCATGGTGCTCCATGACTGGTAGTGTCCCCCAAGGCTCCATCCTTGGACCTAGCGCACTGCGCAGGCGCACGGCGACCCGGCCGACCCCGCCCCCTCGGCCTCCGCCGCACTGCGCAGGCGCTGGGGCGCCCGCGCCGCCTCTGCGCCTGCGTGCCCTCTTCCCTGGCGGGAGGAGAAGTGAGGTCACAGGGGGGGCGGAAGTGCTGCTAGCGAGGCATTGTGGGAGGCGAGGCGGTGTCTCGCCTTGTGTACCATAGAGACGTGGCTGGCTCCCCCCCCCGGGGGGGGGGGGGGGGAACCCCACGGCATGCTTATAGGCCTGACAGTGCTATGCTTGCTAGCACCATGGCCGAAAGAGACTTGGGGGTCATGATTGACCACAAGATGAACATGAGCCACCAGTGTGATGTCACAGCTGATAAAGCAAACCAAACTCTGGGTTGCCTCCATAGATGCTTCTCAAGTAAACCCCAGGATGTCATCCTCCCACTGTACTTGGCCTTGGTGAGCCCACAGCTAGAGTACTGCATCCAATTCTGGGCTCCACAATTCAAGAAGGACATGGAGAAGCTTGAGAGAGTCCGGAGAAGAGCCACGCACATGATCAGAGGGCAGGAGAATAGACCTTATGAAGATAGGCTAAGAGCCATGGGACTCTTCAGTCTGGAAAAGCACAGGCTCAGGGGTGACCTGGCAGCAGCCTATAAGTACACAAGGGGTGTTCATCAGGATCTGGGGGAATGTCTGTTCACCAGAGCGCCCCAAGGGATGACCAGGTCCAACAGTCACAAACTCCTCCGTGACCCTTTTAGGCTGAACATAAGGAAAAACTTCTTTACTGTCTGAGCCCCCAACGCCTGGAATAGGCTCCCTCCAGAGGCAGTGCAAGCAACTACTCTGGACTCCTTTAAGAAGCATTTAGATGCTTATCTTGCTGGGCTCCTGTAACCCTAGCTGACTTCCTGCCCTTGGGGCAGGGGGCTGGACTTGATGATCTCCCAAAGTCCCTTCCTGCCCTAATGTCTATGAAATCTATTAAATAAAGAGACTAGATAGACCAGGCAGGTGCTAGGACCCTGAGGATGCCTCTCCTGCTGCAGCAGGGAGAACAAACTGAAAGTGTCAGTGAGGAGGAGCCTGGTGATGCCTCCTCTTCTGCTGTGGCTGGAGCATGCTGCTGATTCCCTGAGCTGCCAAGGGCCAGATCCATAGGACTGATTGCTGACTCCTGATTCAGGGCCCTCAGCAATTTGCAGGGTTGAACTGAACCTCAGTTTAGCAAAGCATATATGCAACTGTTGTTAGGGATAGGGATAGATTTAGCCACAGGTTTAAAGTTAAGACTTAAATTCTTTGCTGAATCCAGGCACTCAGCTTTTATCATTAAGTACTTGAGTAGTGCTGGTGCCTCACTTTTCACTTCAAAATGTGAAAAGCATTACTTAAAAGAAAGAAAAGTGTTGTTTTGGAGTCATAATAGTGTGGAGCTGTGAGAGCAGTAAACTCCCTGCTCTTTTACAACTCGATATTTATTATGCCCAATAACTTAAAGGGAACCAGATAATATAATTTAGAAACATCTAAAAGAGAGAAAAAATCATTCTCAGCAGACAGCTCATATGACAAGTTTCTGCCCAGAGTGAATTTTTATGCTTGAGTTATAAACCCTTGAAAAATGGGGATCCTAATGCGAACGCTGACATAGCTTTAACTAAAGCAGCTCTAGTAAGTGCTGCTATAATTATTTGCTCATTAATTACAAATTTTGCAAGACATGAGAGTAACACAAATTGGAAAATAGGAATAATTATCAGTAATAATGCCACAGAAGCTGGACACATTGAAAGTATCTTCCTCTTTAAATTTAATAATAGCAAGACAGCTAGGAAATTAATAAGAAATACATAATTGAAAATTAACCTTGCAAATCTGCTGTTAATAAACCATGGTACTCTTGCATTACAATAATTTTACAGAGCCCTTAATTTGCATTTGAAGTACTATCCCAGGTAATACTTTGTGTGTTTAGAACAATCTGTAGGTGTTTGGGTTTTCAAGTAAAGTGTAGAGGGTGGATTTTAGCACAGGTGAAGGTTTTGGACCAGGGAATAATGTATATGCTATGTATTTAAAGGCCTGAGGCTACGCATTTTTAGAGCCAGAATGACAGGCAACTAAAAGTACAATGGTGATCTTGTGCCTGCAGTTATGCCTGAATGCTGTTTTGTTATTGTTGAATTACAGCATTGTAATGCATGGTGCTTCACTCTCATTTTGTTTCACATTTGAGTAAATATTCCAGTTTTGATGATATTGCACTATTTTTTACTATTTTGTTGGCACTTTCCTGGAAAGTGGATTCAGTCACCTAGTGACACTTGTGACTATTCAGTGAGCTAGTGAGATATATGTAGCACACAGCCTTCAAAGTGTTAGGCTACAGGGGATGTCTTCATCCTGGTATTTAGGGAGGCCATTTAGTCTATTGGACTAAGCGCAGAGCTGGCACCTTAAGACCTCATAGGCCAGCTTCTCAATTAGTGTAAATCAGCATAACACTTCTGGTTTAATGAAAACACACTAATTTACATTAACTAAATACTCACCTCAGTAAATACCACAAATATTCAGCTCTGGCAGGGTTTTTCTGTTTCAACAAGTGTAAAATAATACTTGCCTAGCTCCATATTATGGCTGTTGATGATTGATTGATTGTTTGTAAATATAGCACCACTGCTATGTACATTATATAGTATGTGTAACACATTATTTGATTGGTTTTATATATGGATATAACAACTAAATAGTATTGCCTTTTATTCTCAAATTTAAACTACTGGCCATCTTGAATTTTGTTCTATGCCCTTTCCTTATAACAAACTTTATAAATATTGTATTTTGCTATTCCCTAGTATATATCCACAATGAATGTGTACATGTATAGCACGTAGATTTATGCAGGATTTCAGAACTGGGCATAGAAAATGGATTTTAAAAATTTATACAGAAACATATAGCATTGAGCATCATAGAAGAACATAGTCCATAGACAAATGGGTTAAGTGTACTCTCAGACAAGGGCTTCTGCATCATTCCAATGCCCTCCTGGACTGCAGATAAAATGTTGGCTTCATTGTCCAAACCCACAAATCCTAGGAAGAGGCCATTAGGGGTCAGCAATTCAGCTGTTTGTCTGTTCATTGTATGTAAGAGGTTAGCAGCAGTGTGCTTTTTGTCCAGAGCCAGCAAAAGCAAGAACAGCTTGTTTCTGAGAACTCTATGGATCCCCTGGTAGTGACAGAGGA